TAATAGTAATAATAATAATAATAATAATAATAATAATAATAATAATAATAATAATAATAATAATAATAATAATAATAATTTATTTCAGGTTGTATGACTTTTGTTTTAAAGATATATTAAAAATAATGATATTAATAATTATAATAATCATAATAGTAATAATTATCTGTCAACCGTCAGGCCGAATATTAGTACTGTCATTCAGAAACCTGTCAACGCTTGACAATTCGTTGTTTACTGTTCCAGTGTCATTTACTATTCTAATTTCAATGGTCATTCGTTGTTATATGTCTGTTGTATCTAATTTTACTATTTAAGATTAGATTACTCCTATATAAATACACACACATTTGATTAGTAAAAACATTATTTTTTAATTAATTTGCATGTTCTTCGTTCTCTTTTAATAATAACAATAATCACTAATCGAATTAAAAAAAATGGAGGAGGAGTATGATGGTATGTTATGCACTACCATAACATATAGGAACAACATGAGGAATAGTTTGGTAAGACGTAACCATTTGAATGTTCATATGTAAACATAAATAACAAATTACGTAAGTATCAATTTATATTAGTTGCATGTGTTTAGATAACTTTTTGTTATTGTACAGGCCATTCCTGATGACTTGAGACATTTTCTATCAAAATACATGAATGGAGTTAGAGTTAAGCGGGGTAAGACGGGCCGTGCATGGGATATAACTCTCCTCGGGGCTGACGTACCTCCGACCGGAAAAGTGTCAGTGTTGTTGTTCGAGGGATAGGCTGCGTTCGTTACGGACAATACCATCGTCACAGGGGAGATTTTGAAGGTATACTATAGTGGTGGAGGGTTATTTCATGTTCGCATTTTCTCTGCCGAGAACGTGGAAAGACTACCTCCTCCGGCTGCCAAGAACTAAATAATATCAATAATAATAAAATTTATATATGAATTCTTTACGTATGTTTCATAATTATAACCATATATAATGTATTTTTTTTTAATATGGTTTGTATTAATAATAAAATTAATAATATCACGTTTTTACTAATAATAATATTAACAGTATTATTATTTATGTTTGTTACATCTGTCAAAATAATAATAATAAGACTAGAGCAATTGATTACAACTTAATGTCCTTTAGGAATGTAATTTACAGAGAAGAAAAAATAAACCTTAATGTCAGTTAGAAACAAAATAATACTAAATGTGATTTAGGAAGGAAAAGAAATAATAATTAATGGCCCGGGGTTTCATGGCCCGTACTCACACTTAACATGATTAACATAATGAAATTATTCGATGTCATTCATTCATATGCATAACTTAAATTAATGTTGATTTAGAGAAATTTCAATTATAAGCTATTTTCACGTGCAAAGGTTAATTAAACTAAAAAAAAGTTTATAGTTAATTTGTAGTTCTTTTAAGTGAAGTTTGAAGTTATAATTCAATACTAAACATACAAAAACAGTATTTTAAATAAAACATAAAATAAAATTATTATTATTATTAATAAAACATAAAATAAAATAAAACATTATATTTAAAAAAAAAATCAAAACAAGACTCCTATGGGGATTTTGTAGGAGGAACCCTTTCCATGTTCTCAGCAGAAAAAATGAGAACGTGAAATAAGCCCCCTCCAGTGTAGTAGACTTTCAAAATCTCCCCGGTCACGATGGCATTGTCCGTAACGAACGTATCCTTTCCTTCATCAAAGAACACAGACCGGGTATAAGGAACGTCAGCCCCAAGAAGAGTCACATGCCATGCACGCCCATCTTCCCACATGACTCCATTTGTATAGCGAGAAAGCAAATCTCTCTAGTCAACAGAAAGCGCCTGTACAATTACAATCGTTCCTTAAATAACACATGAAAGTACAAATAATTTGATAATAACGTTAATTGAAGTACTTCTTACCTGATGGTTCATCATGTGGTCCTTGTATGTTATAGTAGTTCATGTCATACCTTGATAGCTAGGTGAGAATGTGTTGATGTAATGATAATGCAAGGAAAATATAATCTATTCTTAAATAGTAAAGAGGATAACAACATGGGGAATGCCAATAACAACAGATGACAACTGAAATTAGATTGGGTGCAATGAATTTTCGTCCAATATGGGAACACTAAACATCGGACTGCCAAGCGTTGACAGTTTTCATTTTCCAGGATGACAGTAAAACGAATTCCCTTCGACCATTACGAAATCAAAATATTTCCAAATTATTATTATTATTATTATTATTATTATTATTATTATTATTATTATTATTGTCATTATAAATATAAAAATGATGAATATTATGGTCATCAGTACTTTTATTGATAATATTTTTAGTGAAACTTAGATATCAGTTTTATTATTATTTTTATCATTATTTGTATTATTATTATTTGTATTGGATATGTTCAAAAAATTAGGATGGATTACCATTAGGATGGTAGCAGTAGTAGTAGTCGGATTGCCAAGCGTTAATACTTTTCAATTTCTAAAATGACAGTTTTTACGTATTTGTGGCCGATAATAGATGCTAAATAGTTTTATTAGCGTTGATATTATTTATAATTATTATAATTATTATTATTATTGTTATTATTATTATTATTATTATTATTATTATTATTGAAGATTATTATTAACCTTCTTATTATTATTATTAACCCTCTATTTGTCCCTCTATTATATACGGGGGTCAACTCTGTAAGGCCCAGTTTTATATAAGGGTCAGCTCTGTAAGGCCCAGTTCTATCCCATCCTTTGTTTGTCCCTCCATTATGGTGTGCCCAGTTTTATATGGGCCAACATTGTATAAGGTCCATCTTTCATTGTATAAGGGCCAGCTTTCATTGTATAAGGGCCAAGCTTTCTTTCTTTTTATAAGAAGCCGTTGTCGATATAGCCCTTCTCATTCGTATATCAAATATTGTCATTAGTGTATTGTTATTGTCTATGTACATTGTCTATGTACAAATACTAATTAGCTTAACAAAACAAAATCATTCCTCATTATTAGTTGCACAACAAATTGTAGTACAAATACTAATTAGCTTAACAAAACAAAATCATTCCTCATTATTAGTTGCACAACAAATTGTAGCTTATAGTTCTTGTAGGTTGTAGTTAAATTACTTACACATTTTCCCAATAAAGTTACTCCGAATTGCTAAAGTTCTAAAGTTAACAGCATACAAAATGATAAATGCAAAATCAGTAAACAACCATGTTCACTCCCAAATTTTACTTCCAAAAAAGTACACCAAACCACCATTGATCAGCAAATGAAAATCATGCGACAGTAAGTTGAAGTAGCCGCAGAACATCTTCCCTCGATTCATTAAACTCTGACAAGAGGTCTTCACACACAATCCAGGACCTCTTGAATGTCATATCGGGAAGCTGGAAGATGAGGGTTGTGATTAGAAGATACAATAACAATATTACAAATTGAAAATAAATTAAAAGGAAAAACAAAGTAGAACTCACTTCGGCCATCTCCGATAACAACTTGTCAGCGTTGCGCTTAATCGCAATTAACATATGGATTCCACAGCTATTTCTGGTTGGAATAAATAATCGCATTTATAATGATTATTAAGAGTGAAGTTGTATGTACACCCGTAAGCAAAGGCAAAATAACATGTATAGAAGCTTACAAGTCTCCCTGACTTTTGATATTAAGGGATGTCCTTGGCCAATTACAAATGGTTCCTATTCGCCAATCTTTGTCCATATTCTTAAATGCAAGATCCATTGCTGCGGCCTGAAATGAAGTACTAGTTAACTTACTTCCAAAATTAATAGATGCAGACAAGAATTCATAAGTTTATATGCATTTTATTCCCGCCAGGTGGTCTACTTCGCATTTTCTGCGCGAAGCCGCGTTCGTAGTCCAAATTGAATCAATAATAAGGATCTCCTGTCTGTTAATTGAAAATGCAGCGCACCACCAGTGGTGTTCTCGAAGAACTGGGACAAATATCTGTGACCCAAAAAGACTTGTCATACACAGAAGTAGACCTTTGATAGAGTATATATAGTACATTTTAAGCCTAATAAATAGTTGCAAACTCATACCACGTTGATTTTGGTTGACACAGTTGGGTACATGTAGTGAGTGTAACTTTTTACTAACTTAATGAAATCTAGGTTCATCAGTTCTTTGACCTTTTTGGTATTGATATGGGCCTGCAAAACCAATATCTAAAAATAACATGCAATATGTCAGTGTGTTGGGCATACAAAACCAACATCTATAAATCAAAAGTAGGTAATAAAGGAATAAGTAGTAACTGCAAATGCAAGATCAGTCATAAATCGCCTGCTGCGATCGGGGAATTGCCTCTCCCTCACCTTTTCATAAACGCGTCCCGCAACCCTGACATACTATAGAAGGAACACTTGTTAATGATTATGTTTACAGTTACTAACAACAAATTATTAAAATGAAAACAATTGAATTAAGCATCGTACCTGATCACTGACCTCCCCAAAATTATGTATCAAATGGCCAAATAAAGTAAGTTTGATATGGTTACCATCGCAACTAAAGAACGTCGGTTCATTGTTGCATCGAATCACATGAATATAAGCATCATATACACAATGAAAGGAAATATTAAACATTTTCAACATTAAAGATGATCAACAGTAAAGATTTTCAAGGCTATACATACTCATCATTTTTAATATTTCTTGTGCTGAATGACATGTGCTCATCCATAAAATCACACAAAGGTACCCTGAAACGACGAATATTCTTTGGCCGCCATTGATTGATATACGAAATAGGTAGGGTAAGAGGCTCTGATATCTTCCTCTGCTTCCTACTGAGTTGGTGCCTCTTATTCTGTACATTTGTATTTTGTGATTCATCTTCAGAGTCATAGGTGGCAGTAGGTTTGCAATACTCAAGGCTCTTCGGGATAACTCTATCTATCCCCTTTGCTGCATCGGCTGCACCTTCACTAGGCTTTTCCTCTGACACTTTGGGTAGCTCCTATTCTGCTGTTGGAACATCCTTGTTCTTTTTCTCCTTTGTAACATCACCTTCAACATAAAATTCCCCCTTTGGAACATCACCTTCCCCCTTTGGAACATCACCGTCCCCCTTTGGAACATCCTTGTTCTCTTTCTCAACATCAGGGATAGCTTGCCCCATTTGAACATCACCTTCAACATCACCTTCCCCCTTTTGAACATAACCATCCCCCTTTTGAACATCCTTGTTCTCTTTCTCAACATCAGGGATACCTTCCCCCTTATGAACATCACCTTCAACATCACCTTCCCCTTTGGAACATCAAATGCTGAAGCACCACCAACATTATCAGCTTCATGACTTCCAACCAGGTACTTTCTTTCACTAAACTGCGAGCCCGTACTACTTAAAGGTGCATCAACCAAAGACTAGTATACACCAAATTTTTAACAATCACATCAATGAATGATTGATCTAGTTCTGACTTATCACTTGTGGACTCAATGTTCATGACATGACTTGGTTGTTTAGTTGATGGTTGGTTAGTTGATTCATGATCAATTGATGGTTGCTCATGATCAAGCTCCTTCTCAAGCAGATCAGGCTCCTTCTGTACATCAGGTTCCTTCTCTAGCTCATTCCCAACCTCTAGCTCTAGCTCCTTCTCAGACTCCTTCTCAGGCTCCTTCTCTAGATCATGTTCCTTTTCAGGCTCCTTCTCTAGCCCAAGCTCCTTCTCATGCTCCTTCTGTAGCCCAAGCTCTTTCTCAGGCTCCTTCTTAAGTTCCTTCTCAAGCTCATGCTCCTTCTCAAGTTCCCTCTCAAGCTTATGCTCATTGTCATTCTCTTTCTCTTCTTTCCTTTTCTTGCTCTTCTCCTCCTTTTATCCTTTTGAAATAATATCATAATGATAATGTAAATTAAAAAAATGACAATGTAAATTTAAAAATGATAATAAATGTTGCAATAGTATAAAAATATCTATTCACCATCACCCTTATTGTTGTCCTTATTATTCCTCCTCTTCATGTTGTTCTTCTTCTTGTTCACTTCCATCTCACTCTCTTTCTCTTTCTTGCTCTCCTCAACCTCAACTTCCTCCTTGTTTTCTACAAATTCATAACCAATTAAAAAAAATCAATTACTGAGATACAAAGACAATTGGAAAACATGTTTAAATTCACAAGAATATGACATTACCTACAGACTTCTTTTTCTTGCTGTCATCCTTACTTTCTTCTTCTTCTTCTTCTTCTTCTTCTTCTTCTTCTTCTTCTTCTTCTTCTTCTTCTTCTTCTGCTTTCTTCTTCTTCTTCTTCTTCTTTTTACTCACCACATCTTGTCAAGACCTTTTTTTCCTCCCTTCTTCTTCAGGGTCCTCATTCAGTACTTCTTTATTACAACAAAAAAAATGAAACAATTATATAACTAACTATGAACCGCTATGAACCAAACTGTACCAATGTCACGAGAAAATTATGTAATTACCTCCTGTATTCTTTTTCTTCCTTTGAAAGGCATACTCTTCTTTAACCAGAGTTCTTTTGGTTTTCACATCTATGGTAAGCCATGCCAAATCCTCATATCAATATCATCTACTACTTCATCTGCCTCCTCTCTTTTCCTTTTAGCTGGAAAACAGTCCTTTGCCTTCAACGGGTGACCAGCATCCCCACCATACAAAACGTCCAGACACTATCAAAAGTAATAAATAAATAAATAATATTTATACAACTATAAGGTTGTATCTATTTAACAAAATAAATATTCCAATTACCCCCTTGTTTCCAAAGCCACCCGTTGGGAAACGATCTTCTTTACAAGATTTGCTCATCTCCTTCGTAGTCCATACTTTTAACCTTGGAAACTCATTCCACTCAAGTGGAATTATGTTTAGTCTATCAAGATACAATAACTGCTTTTACATAAACAAACATCAACATCAGCTTTATGACTTCTAAATGAATGAAAAAAGGTTTACATCAGATATTTTTGAGGATTCAACTTACACACAGAAATAAAGTACACCCACCACTTCCATGGGAAAAAACAATTGTTATAAAACCTTTTAGCAAAGCTTGCCATCGCATGTAATAACTCATCTAAAATGAGAGAGCACCAATTATACAGTTTAGAACTGCTTGCAACTGCAGCTGCATGCATATGTTTCTTCTTCATGCGATGACAAGTTGTTGAACAGAGTGTATTCAACATCAGCAGCACAAAAAGCTGCCGAAACTCGTCCACATCAGTACATGGAGCCTCCAAAGCTTCAATCAAAGTCTTCCTTGTTATCCCTTCTTCCCTTTAATTGTAAATGGTGCAGTACTTTATCCACAAACTGTCCTCTATCTCCTGATCAACTACCTTCGTTGGTACCGGTCTCCGTCCGTGAGGTAGGCCCAGAACCCAATGCACCTGAATAGAAGAAAAAGGGTAAATCATCCTATCTGTCGTGCGAAGGCACTTGTTATCAACATGTACCCGAGTATACAGCCAGTATGCCAACTGTTAAGGTAACCTCTTCCCAACAACATAAAATAATGTGCCAAAACCCATATCTCTGACTATTTGAGTATTTGTTTCATCAAACTTTCCTAATACCCTCCCAAATGTCTCAAGAGGACAATTCACATTCACTGACCGCAAAATAAAGGCAGAATTTTATAATACATTAACGTCTCAAATTAATGCTTGAAAAAAAAACAACTTTCTCAACAAACATACAATCTTCTCGTATTGTTGGAACGTTTTGATAACTTTCCCAGCCTCCTTTAGCCTACCACCTACACTTTAAGAACTATCCTTTTGCAAACAAAAATAATAAGAAACGGTCATCAAAATACTTTATACAACTGATATCGATCAAAATGAACTAAATAAAACCACATACAAATCAAACTCATAAAAATATCGTGTAAACAATCGGATTAATGTCTTTTATCACGCTCTTTGGCTTCACCAACTCAGCCTTCCCCTTGGACTTTACCTAGATTGATAAACAAAACAAATATAGATAATCATTGGAAAAACAACAGTATAGTTAGTTAGTCTACAACCAAAGGTAAAAGCAACTTTACCCCTCTATGATTTTTACTACTTGAACATTCTTCTTCTTCTTCACTATCATCCGCAGAATACGTTTCAGATGAAGGTTCCTCTTCTAAATTAGGATCAAAAGGTGTATCAATACCACCTCTTCTCTCATCTCTCACAATCCTTCTCCCAACACCACCCCAGCCTCTACCAAGGCTCCCAACAATACCACCTCTCACAACACTACCACCTCTCCAACCTCCTCTCACAACACTACCACCTCTCCCACCTGCAACAAATAACAACAAGAACCAACATGATAATCAGAACAATCAGAATTAATTTACACTAAACAAACCAATAACTAAAGCTGCCATTACTTTAATCTCAATCATTGCTGAAAGTCTAACACAATAATAATCACTACAGCCTAACTTATTAGCTACAGGGAGGAGCAAACCTAACCTCATTGACTACTTCAAGGCATGCTTAAACATCATAATCAACAATATCAGTGCCATAATCTCAATGATGAGCCAAGAAATTCCATATTAAAACCTATTACCTATTAGAATTTTTGTCATTTATATTATTAATACAGTCATATTACAACCACAATTAAAATCTATATTACTTGCTATTAGAATTCTTGTCATTAATATTTTTTATAAAAGTCTTATTAAAATCTATATTACTTATTACTAATTTAGGACCTATTGTAGGTGTAAATACCCTAATTCACAAATTATCACAAACCTAATAACAAATTATCACGAAACCCTAAATTCTGCTAAGTTTTTATTGACATTTCAAGTAAAAAGCAACTAAATTGTTGTATAAAACCGAAATTTAGTACAAACTTAGGTCATACAACAACCTAAATTTAGTACAACTACAAAAATATCAACAACAAAACCTAAGAACATACAACAACCTAAATTTCAAAATTAGGAATTTCAAAATTTCAAAATTTATAAAACGTATTAGCTTGAAATTTGCTAACCATGTAAGTCTCATGCAATTGTAACATTAATTACATATTCGTTTAGAGACTCACCTCGACACCTCATTTTCGTCGATTAATTGCGCATAAAAATTCTCTGAAATTTTCTTTCGTCGAAGAACTTTTGATCAAAAATCACTTCCCCCAACAATTCACACGGTCTTCTTTAGAATTGAAGGACTTCAATTGCTCAACGATATTCAAATTTTCAGAGAAGAGATGAGAATATGAACAACTTTACAAAGCTCGCTTCAGAGAAGAAAGAGAGTAGAAGAAAGGAAAAGCGGGAATTGAACCAACGGGAAATGGGGGAGGCATATTATATATTAGTATTTTAATACGTATAGAACAGTAGCAATACATACATCTTAAGTTAAAGCCCATGCAAAAATACCAAAACACACCTGTACTAGGAAATATAACCCCAGCAAATTGCTGGGCTGAGACCGGCTCGGGTAATTATTGGCCCAACAAAGTGTTGTGCCCAGCACAAGTTTTAAAGTGAAATCGTGGGGTCCACAAGTAGAATTTGGTGTATAATTATACGGTCAACATGTATTTGAGTCTATTATACTGTCTTTGCGCGTTTTAATTTCCCGTTGAAGTTAGTACTTCCATTTTCGATTAATTGGTTATCTTTATTCAATATAGTTAATTATTTTGCTATACTTTGGTCAGAAGATGGTCTGAAGATGGAAATCAAAGTATCAATGGCCTCCATTACGACCGCTTCCTCTTCGCTCAAAAACGACCCTCTCTTTTATCTCTTCTAGCCCCTTTTACCCTTTTTTCTGTCTACAAATCAATCCCATATGAACGTTTCGTCTCCTTCTTTGCGCTCTATCTTGGGGTTGTCAAAAACCTTATTTTCTCAAGTTATGTTCGATTTAATGCAATGCAAGCTCTTGTCCTTGATGTTCTTCTTGTTCTTCTTTTACTTTTATAGCGAATTTTTACTCCTGGAAAATGGTTAGGGTTTAAGATTATGGTAATGAGTGATGGGTGTCATAAATGGCACCTATTTGATGATCATTTAGGTTGTTTTTACCTTATTTTCATAGCTTTCCTTCTTAATAAATGCCAGTTTTATGTTTTTGCTCTTTGTTTTTCCTTTTCTCTCTTATTTTATGGTTTTGTGCATTTTGATGGTTTTTCTAATGTTTTCTTCTTTATTTGTTCTCTTTTCATAGTTGTAGGTATTGTACGAGGTTAGGGCATTAATATGGATGGATTACTAAGGTGGAAGATGCCTTTAGAGCAAGCTCATGGCAATAGGAAAGCTCAAGATGCAAGGAAGTGGATTCTCCAAGTTGTAGCTCTTGCGCTTTCAAGCCGCGCTCTCATGAAGATGGGGTGTTGAACCCACTATCAAGTGTTTTTTGGAACTTCCACTCTTGGTGTCCATCATCACTGTTTGGTGCGCTCATTCGAAGCCATTAGCGAACGCACGAACCCTTGAGAAGAACCAAAGAAACCTAGAGGAGAGCGGGTGCGGGCGCGCCCCTCTAGGTCCCTGCTTTGCTCGGTTTCATTTCACGCCTCCTATTTAAACCTTTGTAACCTGATTTTTGTAATTAGGTTTTAGATTGTAATTAGATAATAATTTTACTTAGTTGAGAGCTTGAAGATTCAATGGTGACAATTGTGTTAAAGATCTTCTATATTATCAATGAGCATTTCTAACTCTATATCATTTCTTTGATTTGCTTAATATTCAAGTTTGTTGGATTGATTTTGATGTTAAATTCTTGATTAGTGTAGTTGTTCTTAATATTTTGTTGATTCTTAATTTCCTTAGTTGTTAGTTGATTAGATGATGATGTTAGAGTAGTTGTAAGGCTAGGGATTGGGTAAAACTATTGTATGATTGATTTATTGTGCTTAATTTGGGAATTATGTTGATTGATTGTTGAGATTAAAGTGATTAATGGAAATTGTGCATGTGTGTAATTCGATAGGCCTTGAGAATTATGCTAGATTACATTATAATTTCTAATGATACGGACCATTGATTTAGGAATTGCAATTATCGATTGAGTTCGGTTAGTGACGTTCCTAGTTAGTGTCTCTCGTAATTGGCGCTAGTTAGTGTAACACCCAAATAATTTCTCTTTAAACCTGTGAGGACCCTGAACAATATTCAAGAGAATTACATGCGCGCTACCACCACATGTTCAAACGTTAAGGT